TTCCCCACTTTCAACCATGATACGTACTCACATTAAGGTTCTGCGCCCGCGGGCAAAGTAAGAGAGGCAGCGGCTCGTGATAGGCAGGAACTCGAATCACAGAGGAGCCCCGTTCAGACTATGTACAGGATGCGATAGAAGAATCAATTTGAAAATACGGAAGGCCCACGGACTAAGAAAGAATAGCCCACGCAATTTCATGCGAAAACACAAACCACGGGAGAGCACGCAGTCATAAAAACATGGAGCGGATCGAAGAGACGACAGCGGGCGAAAGCTAAAATAATGACACCCCAACATGCTGAAAAAAGCACGGTCCACGGAAGAGAGCGCACGTTCACAGTCACGGTAGACCACATAGCTGTGCGAATGCACGGAAAGGAGTTCACCTACCCCGGTAGAGCACGGATCACGGTCGACGGACCACACACGAAGCCACGGAGAGCAAAGTGGGAAATCACTGAGCATTGGAGTTCCATACCAGGGTAGAACCGGAGCTCACTAATCCACGGAGCACGATACCACGATAGGTCACGAAAGAACGGTAGTCCAGCGGTGACACCACAAAATAACATGATAGCCTGGACGGTGGCCAAACCACTAAATCATAATAGAACATGCAGCCACTGGAGATATAGACGGGAAATCACCGAGCCACAGAGCGTGATACCAGTGTCGAACCTGACATCACCGATCCACGGAGGACGATCGTACATTATAACACGATTGAACGGACGGCGGACCAGCCACGAAATCACGGAGGAAGGATTCGGGAGACCACGATTGCACAAAGTGGAGCATGGTCTCATCGTATAGCATGATTATAAGAGCAACGCATATTCACTACGCGAGCACCTTCGCACAGACAACAGAACCACACCGTGATTGCACGATAGCGCGATAACGCGGCCGATGGAGCCACACCAGGAGAGCATGATACACGGGCGACGAAACAACACGACTACGTTGAAGCACCAAAACACGGCTAGAGTTCCAGCCATGGAAGGGCAACGACCACGAAATACTATGTATCACGAAACCTGTGCAACCCACGTGAGCGTTTGATAACAGGGATTAGTTAGCAGCCACAAAAGAGGTCGTATTAAAGGGCATCAATCCA